CCTCACCCTCTTCCCCGTCTCCACCGGCGAGGGATGGCCGCAGTAAGGGCACGGGACCCGCGGGGGGGCTGCCGGGACGGGGACACCGGGACCCCCACCCCGTCCCTGCCCTCGTTCCGCCACAGGGTCCTCAAGCACTCGGTGGATGCCACCTACGAGAACCAGGGTCCCAGCCCAGGCTACCGCATGGAGATGTCCATCTTCTACGTGGTCTACTTCGTGGTCTTCCCCTTCTTCTTCGTCAACATCTTCGTGGCCTTGATCATCATCACCTTCCAGGAGCAGGGGGACAAGATGATGGAGGAGTACAGCCTGGAGAAGAACGAGGTGCCACCCCTGGATCCCCCCCCTCCCCCTTGACGCCTTCTGGGGACCCCCCGGCCGGGCCGGGGGTCGGTGACGCCCGCCCTGCGCCGCTGCCCGCAGAGAGCCTGCATCGACTTCGCCATCAGCGCCAAGCCCCTGACGCGGCACATGCCGCAGAACCGGCAGAGCTTCCAGTACCGCATGTGGCAGTTCGTGGTGTCGCCGCCCTTCGAGTACACCATCATGGCCATGATCGCCCTCAACACCATCGTCCTCATGATGAAGGTCAGCGGGGAGGGGCTGAGGGTCCTGGGGAGCCCCTCTGGCTCTGTCCCCTCCCGGTCTCGTGGGGGCTGCCCTCAGCCCCTGGACCCGTGTGTGTCCCCTTGCTCCTGTCCCCTGGGGTCTGTTCTCCCCTGGGGCTTTTCCCTGTTCCCGTCCCTGTCCCGGTGGATCCAGCCTATCCCGGGATTCATCCTGTCCCCCCGGATCCATCCCTGTCCCCCCGGATCCATCCCTGTCCCCCAGATCCATCCTGTCCCCATGGATCCATCCTGTCACTGGATCCATCCCTGTCCCTGGACCCATCCTGTCCCTGGACCCATCCTGTCCCTGCCTCTGTCCCAGTGCCCCATTGATCCATCCCCGTCCCCCAGGACCTGTCCTGTCCCCCTGGTTCCCCCCTACCCCCCGGGACGCACCCCTGTCCCGCCGGGAGCTGTCCCTGTCCCCGTCCCCGTCCCCATCCCCTGCGCTGTCCCCTCAGTTCTACGATGCCTCGGACACCTACGAGAACGTCCTGAAGATGTTCAACAACGTCTTCACCTCCCTCTTCTCCCTCGAGTGTCTCCTGAAGATCATGGCCTTCGGCGTGCTGGTA